AGAGTAGTAGTCTCGGCTCTGGCTCCTACGTGGGGACCGCTGTTGTAATTCATCGCCTCCATTTCTGTCATAACCAGAAGGTGGAGGACGGCGAACAGGAGAGGAGCCTCTGGTCGAAGCACGGTGAGGTGCACGCTGACCAAATGAAACAGAGAGGGATGCTTTTACTGACGGTGGACGACGGGCAGTGTCTTCAGAGCCACGAGTCATGTCTCCGGTGGAACCAGAAGGTTTAGTTGGTAAATTCATCTTCTCAAGGTGTGATGTAATCTGGCGCATGACAGGAACAGGAATACGTGGAAACAAAGTATCAAAGTAGTACTGCAAAACCAACGGGAGAAAGTCAGATTCAGGAATTGGCATCAAGGAGCTGTTTAAGCATCAAATAGCTCAAAAGTATTCATAGGACAATCACAGAAAACTGGAAAAGTTGACCATCTATTGTATAACCACCTGTGACTCACCAGTCCAAGCAGCAAATCACGCACATAAACACCCATTGTCGTCATCCGTCCATTCGATCCTGGTGAAAACTCCTGAAGCCAAAGTTAATATTCAAATCAGTATACCAACAGCAGCAGTGCAGAGCTACGTTCAAACATGTTGGAGCATGTATTACGATAACATGGCCCTACTACAAAGAATTTGCTAAGCAGTAGGCCACAGGATCCCATACATCCTAAAAAAAATTCCATGGATCTTCAAGGCACTATACCCAACAAGTTCAAAAATTAAGATCCGCTATAATTGTAACATTCAGGTCAGAGACATACTCTCTCCTATAAATTCAAACTGTATTATGTGACTACATCAGTCAGAATACTGACAAGAACTTCTCTATTAAAAAAGACATATTAAGGAACTAAAGAAAAACACAATGCTAGACTGACACAGCAACTTTAGTGAACCCAGATGTATGGATAGGCGGATTATATACGGTTTTTCATGAGTTTGATATCAGTAACTTGTTATCCATAATTGTATGCTACGCTAAGAATATGATTAAAAAATGCTTACCTCATCATCTTTAATGTATGGTTCATACCATGTCCACAATGTCTTTGGATCTGCAACATATCTCAAATATAGGAATCCAACCTGCACATTTAGTTCCCTGAGGTCAGATAAAAAGAAATGAACATAGAAAAACAGATCAGACAAGCTTTTTGTAAAATTGAAAACACAAAGCAAAACAAGGTAGCAATTAGCAAGAAATTGGAGAAAGATCTAGAAGTTCCAGTAACCCAAGGAAGCATGTAAATTATTATTAATTAAAAAACTTCCCACATAGATCCTAAAACTTTGATCTAGAACACCAGTGCCCAGTTAAGAGTGGAGTATGATAAACTGTGTGTTTGTCACAGTCGTCGGTTTCTTTACTACTAGTACTAAATGGCAGAGAGGTGATCCTAGAGAGATAGAGTAGCTAAAATAGAAAAGACACCTCAAACCTTGATTTGCAGATACTGCTAGCAAAGAAAGGTCTTATTTATTTTGGTGGGAGAAACTCTCAGCAACTCAAAGAAAGAATGACATCCCAACTTTGTTTGTGGTTGTGAAATCTGTTATGGAAACACGAGAACAATTATGTGTACGCTCATACCTCCATTACAGGATGAGAAGAATATTTTCAGATGGAACCCAGAGGTAAGGAATGCTGTTACCTGACTGTAAGAGGCTCTATATATATTTCACAAACAAAGGAGACCCCTACCTTTTCCATGTTAAAATTGACTAATAAAAAACGAATCCGCTGGTATCAAGTAATAGGAGGCACAGGTATGGGAACACATAACACACAAGGCTAGATAATAAATACACAAGTCTTTATAGTTTTTCCTTTGAGTGTGTCCACTCAATTTAAAAAAAAATAAAAATCAAGAATGTCGCAGCAAATCAAGATGATACTGAAAATCAAGAAGCCAGATGATGCAACGGTATAGCACCACACAAGCTCATACGTATTCATAAAATACCGTGCCACATATGTTCTTCTAGGTTAATAATGCAAGAAGATGGTTAAGAAATTCACTTACAGCTCTAATATAAGGAGAATCTGTGTGCTTCAACAGCCCATGCATCTGCTTCACTGTAAGTTTCATGGTAAAGAATTTGTACAGGAGACAGTATGCTGTTGACGGACCACGGCAATTTCCACCCATCCATGGCTCCACATGATTAACTTGGTTGTAGATTTCATCAATTACCTCATGATAAGTCTTTAAACCATATAGCTCTTTGAAATAGTCAGAAGAAAGAATGTTCATCGAAAGAACCTTTTCCAACAGTGACTCGTACGCCCTTCCATTTGTCTGTATCTCTGCCATGTTTTTATGAAAATGGTAAATTCTGAGAGATACAGAAAAGCTTACGAGCTCAAAACCTGAAACGGAAATTCAACACATTAGGAACAACAACAAGCTTGAAACTTTGTGCCATTATAAACAATCTTTCACATCTCATAATGCTAATCCAAAGCTTAACACTTACACAATCTCCAGTTTTTTTTCTTGAAGACATACACAAAGAAGAACAAATCCTGGAAACCCAACAAAACCAACCGTTCATCAAAGGATAGAAATTTTCGATTGAACTGAAACCCTAGAAATCGCGAAGCAAAATATCCATGTTCAACTAAATTAGACCGTAAAGGAGTTGAATTTCGTGAAACCCAAATAAGGAAAAGTACGAATTCGATATCAATTTCTGATGGGACTTGCGAAATCAAATCGATCAAGGCTAGGAAACAAGTCGAATTTGAGAATCAGACGGTTGAAACAATTCCCAGAAAGCAATCGAACTTGATTTCGAGAAACCCTATAAAAATTGTAGAGAGTAAGAGAGAAGACCTGAAATTTGACGAGATGTGATGGAGATTACAGGCTTCAAACTCGAGAGGTAGAGAGGACTTTCAAAAAGCCCTAGGAACGGCGATCTCAGACTTTTTATCAGCTACCTCCATATTTAATTGGGAAATTTTCAAACCTAACCTCGTATTGTCAATCTTTTTCACATCTTACCCCTAATATTGAAATATACCATTCCACCAAAGACCTTTAAGGAGTGCAAATGGTATGAGAAAATTTGGATAATTGCAAAAATACCATTTTTGGATTGTTCATTTGCAAAAAAACTATTATGGATTGTATATTTGAAAAAATACCATT